CGGGAAGGGTACTATATCGAGGTTATGGTGACTGTTATATGCACACAGAAAGACATTATTAAACCCCAGCACCATACTCTCTCAGATGATACAACAATACTCTTCCCCTGCTATTCCCGATTGCGACGTACTCGCTTTTTGGTGAGAAGTCGATAGCTGTCACGGTCCCCAGTGGCGTGCTCTGGGTCGGCCAGTTCGCGAACGAGGTTAGCGAGGGGAGGTGAATCTGAGAAAAAAAAAAGTGAATATCTTATTGAGGCACGAAAGTCGGAGAGAATCGCATACCAGGCGCATAGAATCCTTTTTCTCCCGACTTGCAATGGCCAATAGCTGGGCATCATGGTTGAACTTCAAGCTTGAAATGGCGGTCGTGAGGTTCCCAATCGATTTGATGGGTTTTGGTGTCCTGTCGAGCTCGGATGGGTGTAGTGAATACGACGAAGGATTATAAACGTTGATAAGACCTGACGACGACCTATTTTTGCCCCCCCATTCCATTAGTTCATTTTCGCGAGGCAGAGGCAACGAAAGAAGAAGCATACCCGACAGCCATATATCCACCCCCAACACCAGTCTGCGTGCCAGCCAAAACCCTCCCCGCTCCTCTAAACCCTCCTTCATCCTTCCACCTCCTCACACACCTCTGCTCCGCAACATCCCACAAATAAACCTCCGCATCCGACGTCAAAACCGCCAAATGTCTCCTCGACCCAACGTCACCCACATCCCCCAGCGATGGCGAGGTAGATGTGCTAGAACCATCAAACCACCACAGCCCCGAGACGCTTCCGCCTCCGGCGCACTTCAACGAACCTACGACTTGCCCAGCGCCGCTCTTCCAGTCGACCAAGTGTACCTGTGCGCCTTTCCCAGCGGCAACCGCGAGTAACTCTCCGGTTGGACTAAAACTCGACATATGTACCGATTCGGCGCCTGGGTCTGCTCGGGCATTGCGCGAGCGCTTGATACCTACGTCGAGGGTAGAAGAGGAGTGCGAGAACGTTGTGCCCCAGAGACCGCGATCGTGGCGTGTTGTGAGGCCCGTTTGGAGGTCGTGTGTGAAGAAGTAGGGGCGTGGACCAGAAAGGAGGAGGGAGCTGCCTGAGGGATGGAAGAGAGCAGAAGTAGGTGATGTTAATGGAAGGGAGGGTATGTGGAGTGTTTGAAGAAGGGGTGAAGTATGTCCGTCAATCTAATCCACACTGGGGTATTAGATAACGGTTGTACAATGAGAAAACGGGACACGCACGTTATATAGTCGAACCCTGCGATCCGCCGTACCAACACAGAGAATGGGGACTTTATCGCTCGGGTGGAAAGCCACGAGTTTAACTTCTCCAGAACCCGTATTTTGCGTCGACAAGTTTGCATCTCGTAGACGTTCAATGGAGAGTGTACCAGACGGCAACACCGTAAGAGTTTTCTTCCTCCTCTCAGCGGCTTTAAGAATCCCGTTCGTAGACGTGAACAGATTCTTCACATTTGCCTTCTCCTCCCCTCCATCCTCCCCCTCTTCATCAACATCAACATCGACGCCTCCGACCTCGCGCTCCTCACGGTTTCTCTCTCGTGCACGTTGAGCCCACGTCGGTTCCGGATTTATGCGTTCAAATTGCGCACGAAGCCGCGTCTCGTAATCTTTTTCGGTAATAGTATCTTCGTCCGCATAATGTCGAAGTTTGCGGAGGCGCGAAGGACCAGAGAGGAGTGATATTTGGTTCACAGCAGAGGCGATTGTCGACGAATCCACCCATGCTGATTTCCCAGTTTTAGAGGGAGTGGGTTGTTTTGGAGTTGTATGAGAGGAAGAGGAGAGTTGGGAGTCGTCGTCTGAATGAGATTCCGACTCTGAGTGTCCGAGCGGATGTACATCATCAATGAAAAACAACTAGATTTGCGCAAAAACCAGTCAGCATCGAATCGCGTAACCAACAAACACGACGCACGTCCGAGTCCAACAAATTTGCCATAGGCCGTCCCCCATCCTTGCCCTCCTCACCCGGCGTAGGACTATAAGAATTATACGGCACACCGAAAAGGAGGCTCTCCAGCTTCCTCTCTTCATCATCTTTACTCTCCTCGTCTAATAGCCGTTCAAGAGTCGCATTAGTGCCTTTTGTCTTGAAAGGCGCCCCAGACGAATTTTCGAGGCGTTGTTTCTTTTTAGGGTGCTTCGCCATGTTAGCAGATAGATAACATAGAAAATTAAGTGTTGGCACGCATGTGACTCTTGGTGTCACTCCCTTCTAAAAATAGTGACATCCAAATTTACGAGGTCGCCTACAACAACAAATCCTTCTCCTTCTCATGATGCGATCGCAAAGGAGGTCAGGTAGAGGTTTCTCTTCCCTCGACCTTGCCGGTCACCTCTCTTCCCCCACTTCATCACCGCCCGACACGATCACAAGGGGTACTTAGGAACACAACACATCTCATCACTGATTATCCATAGCCAGATTGTAGATTGTGTAGACATACATAAGCAAAAAAGGGCAATTTGATCAATCGTTCAGATGTAGTACTCAAAAACCAGTGGAGGCGATAAAAATGATAATGCATCAAAGCATGGCCCATAGTCAAGTTGTGGGGAATGTAGTGCAAAAGCCAACATTCCCATCTTCTTCTATCACTTAATTACTCCCGTCGAGATTGGTCCTTTCCAGCTGCGCGGGAAGGTCTTCTGAAGCCTGACTAGGGTGTTCTTGATTATGATGATGAGTAATGGAGACGTCCTCCATGACTTCCTGTGAACGAGACACGTCAAGGTGCTGAAAGAAGTTCAGCGCTTTTCGGTACATACCTTCTCCGACTCCTCCTTATACTTGTCAAGTTCGGCCCGCAATTCCTGGGCAGTGGTGTGTGGTTGCTGGTTGGCAAGAGTAGCCATACGCCTAACAGCAGTAATACTGAACGCGGCTTTACGCCAGGCTTGCTTGGCGTTGAAGGCCTTCTTGACATGGGGCAGAAGATCAGCGGGTCCACCATCAGCGCGCTGAACAAAGTGGGGCTTTTCATCAGCCAACCACTGATCCAAGAAGAAGCGAGTGAGAAAGATGTATGAAACGGTGGGCGAGGGGAATGACCTTGTGTTCCAGAGCCTGAGCGGCTGTTGGGCGATTCGCAGGATCGCTGGTCAAGCAAGTGCGAACAAAGTCTTTAGCGGTCTCGGAGACGTTCTCCCAGTATTCTTGCGGTTCGAACTTGTAGTCACCAGCGATGATGGCTTCCATTTCTTGTTGTTGGGAGTCGCGGTCGAATGGTGTATAACCTGCGAGGAGGAAATAGGTTATAACCCCCATAGCCCATATATCGACAGGTTTTCCATGGCCCGCTACAGAGCAACGTGAGCCATATGTGCTATGAATGACGTTGAAAGAGACATACTTCGTTTGAAGATTTCAGGGGCCATGTACTTTGGCATGTTAGCTCTAACTATATTTAATGAGACACAACGAGGGACTTACGCCAGGTGTACCACATATCTCAGTTAACTGAGTAAGTTTCTCCTCCTCCATCACCCTACTTAAACCGAAATCGGCAACCATGATGTCAGCATCCTCAGCTGCTGTCCGGAAAAGTAGGTTCTCGGGCTTGAGGTCTATGTTGAGGGGGAGCGTAGTTGAGAATTTAGGCGACGATGGGGGGAGAGCGTAGAATCACTAACCGCGATGGACGATCCCAGCGTCATGGACATACTTGACTGCTTTGAATATAGTGCGTACGAGACCAGCAGCGTCACTGGAGAAAAATGTGATTCCGAATACGGTCGCGGTTTGAGTTACCTACGCTTCATAGTAGTTGCCCTTGGCGCATATCCGGTCGAAAAGCTCTCCACCGGTACAAAGGTCGAAGCAAAGGTAGAGGTTGTGGGCGGTCTAGAGCAGTCCGATGAGCGATGCAGTGATGACACGTATCTTGGAACATACTTCGAAGTAATCGTGGAGGGTTACGATATTGCTGTGACCGCTAGAGATCCTTTTGAGAACAGAGATTTCATTGCGGACCTAGGCGTATTGAGACGATAAGACACGAAACAGGGACAAGAAGCGAGCGCACCATGTGTTCCCGACCCTCCATGAGCTTCTTGTTGATGACCTTGCAGGCATAGTACTTGCCAGTTTGGACATGGATGGCTTCCTTGACTATGGCGTATGTACCACTGCCGAGGGTCCTGCCGGTCCGGTACTAAGGGAGTTCTGTTAGCTGGAACAAGTTATGAAAGAGTCCAGATACGCACAGAGCATGGGACGGTGACTGGAGACATTGAAGAAACGTTTTTCTGGAAGGCTGGAGCAAGGAACTAGAAAGGAGATGGGTGAGATAGGAGTGATCAGTTTGGCTGCGCGTCTGATAACACCGCTTGTTATTTCAAACAAATATATAACTTCACACCCACCGGTGCCGCTGCTGACACTGCTGTGCCTCCTCCCAGTGCTGCAGTCACTGAAGCTGGCGTTGCACTGCCTGTCCCTGCCTTTGCCTCTGACTTCTCCTCTCCCTGCTCCGGCCTAGCGTTCTGGCCTTGAGCCTCTTGCGCGCTGGGTACTCGTGAATTACTTGGGCCTGAAGTGAACGGCCTGAATACTGACGCGAGCTTGTCTACGCCAGAATGGCGTTTCAAATGGCGGCTGAATTTACTGGCTTGGCCGCCAGGGGCCGGGGCGGATCCTGCACGGCTTTGCTGGGCACCCATGGGAATATTGTTAAGGTTGTTAAGGTAGAGAAAGGAAACGAAATATTGCCCTGTTCTTATGTACATCCGTTGGCGGCACCGCCACGCGCTCGGTGCATGCATTCGATGTTAGGACCCTGTATGCTGTGACCAGGGACACTAACGCCCACAAGCATGTTCCGCGCCACATCCGCGTGTACCCGTCAGGTCTCTCCCGAATATTCTTCCACAGTTGCCAGAACCTCCGAAGACACTGCTTAGCACAATTCCATCCAACAGATCGTAAGACTACGCCGATAACATGGTTCCGGGCCAAACAATCAACAAGTGCCCCATGGCTGAGTTGGTTACAGCGTCCGACTGTTACGGCATTACGTCCGGCTATCGGAAGGTCGTGAGTTCGAGCCTCACTGGGGCAGTTGACTAGTTCTTCCTTTTTCATACATCCTGATCAACAAACATAACCCTCAAACGGCGTATTATACAGTACAATGTTGTGCGATCCAAATACAATGTCTATTCCAAGAATTCAAATCCATTTGGACAAGCTCAACAATCTTCTTTGGTTGGAACTCTAATTTAGGCTCATTTTGCAGTGCATATAATACATATGAACTAATCGTCAATGTTAACTTTTGTTAATGCCATTTCAGAAATCACTCACATAACAGTCCCAGGTTTGAGAGCGATACTCTCTCCAGCCGAAACTGGGCCCTTGTTCTTCAAGCTAAGTTTCACACACATCTCCAGGTTTGAGAGCGATACTCTCTCCAGCCGAAACTGGGCCCTTGTTCTTCAAGCTAAGTTTCACACACATCTCCTCCAATGATAACTTCCTATGGTGCCAATACTCATATGCCCGGAGGTATTGCGGCCGCATTCCTTCTGTGGGCTGTGTGCGGGACTCTGGCTGTGGAAGAAGACTTGTCCCCAGTGCCCACGTCACATCCTTTGCGTACTGGCTTTGAGTGTCGTTATCAAGTGGGCAGGAATTCTGTTCTGAGAGCTTCAAGAGTTGATTATATACCATGAGCGATGCATGTGCGTCGTTGGCAGCATCTATACCACGTTAATATAGGAACATAGACCGCACGAGGTGACTTACATTCCCGCTGCTTCTTGCTCAACGGTTTCTCCCAGTCACTTGTTCGCTCAGGGCCCTTCGACAGCGTCTTCCGGTAGTAGTGTTCGACGAGCTTGACCAAAAGGACATGAATTCAACACAATACCAACCGCCAGAGAACATTGGGCCTCACTTTCGCAAGGCTCACAATCTTGCGTTTTGCAACGGGCGCAGGATCCACGACGAGCGCGACGGAACCAAGTTCGACCAGGTTCTTTGCCATGATTCCATAGTCCTTAAATAATTTCTTACCATCATCTATCGTATATCAGTTTCTGCACATTCCCGGTTTGGGTCGGACTCACTGAGGATATTAACTCCCACTTTAGGAACCGCAGCATTTTCAATGAGAGCCTAAGCCAGGGACATTACTGATGAAAGGAACGAACAACTTTGGGAACCGATGAGCCCATACCTGCAAGCGAACTGGGAACCCTATAAAATATGATATATCAATACAGACTGGACACGACAAGATAACACGGACACTTACTTCGCATCTCATTGATCTGTACGACCAGAATGAGGCCAGCACCATCCGCGACCTGAACAACCGCAGCCCGCCGCTCCTGTTGAACACTCGAATTCGTCCCATGTTTTCGAAAGAATGTAACACGCCATTCCAGGTCCAAGCCAACGGTACTAGCGCAAGATATCAGGGAAAGGCGCACAAAGCGTCAAAGGACAAACAAACCCTGGTTTGAGACTATCAACCAAGTCGTTCGCCTCTTCCTCATTTCTTGTGTAGACGACACATGGTTTGGGTCCATAGTCCTTGTATGAGTAGATGGGTAGAGTCCCCTCACTCGGAGCCTCTTCCTCTTCCAGTGAGATGACTGTAGATTGTTTCCTCGCTGCTCCGCTGTTTCCTGTTCGTGTATCCCTGACGGATTTCGAGTGTCTTTTTAGAGGGGGTTCAGCTTCAGGCATAGTTAGCCTGGTAACTTGTCCTGAAGGCTTTGGCTTGAAGAACGGATGAACGCTACCACTGCATAAGGACACGCCCGTCCACTGGTAGTTTTAGAAACGCACAAATTATCGGCATTATCCACCCCTAGTCTCTGAACAGAGCTTTTTTTCTCCTTGGGAACCGCGGCTTGTTCGACCGTTCGCGGCTTTGTGGCAGTGCGGCTTCTAGGTAAAGCAACCTCGGTGCTATTCAAGTCAAAAGCATCGAGCGCAGCGAGAAGGCTACTCGAGTGTGAAGTACCCTGAGCCGTAGAACGTGAAGGTGTAGCAAGACGACGAGAAGCAGCAGCAATCGGCTCCTTGAACATATTTCTGATCACAGACAATTTAGAATCGCAAAACATGACGCGACAATCTCAACTACACGGTCACATGACAAGGAATTAATATCTACTCTGCATCACCCTCAGTGGCCCGAGCCGCCCTCCTGGCCTTTTTGGCTGCATTAGCAGCAGCAGCTTTGGCCTTCTTCGCTTCGGCACGAGCAACCTGGCGATGAGGAATTAGTGTAGGTGCATCCTCAACAAAATATTAACGAACCTTTTCCTCTTCCTCCTTTTTGCGAGCCTCCTCTTCTAGTTTCTTCTTCTCTTCTTCTTCCTGTTGCTTTGTCTTCTTGACAACGCCCCCTGGAGCATTTCCGCGCTTCTTGGCCTCCCTAGCCTCTTTCTCTTCCTGCTTGATACGCTTGATACGGGGATCAAGGCCCAAAGTAAGGTCTACAAGGCCACGGAGTTTAGCAGTATCTTCCTTCTTTCTGCGTGCACGTTCTGACTTGTTCTTCTTTTCGGTGTATCGCTTATCGTCACGGCTGCGAAGTATGTCGTCAGCACTTGACTTTGGAAACGTGGTATAAGGACGTACTTGTCACTGCCCTCATTTATCTCCTTGTCCCACCACTCGAAGCTTCTCCAGCTATCGAAGTTGTACCAAAAATCGTAGAAGCCTTCAACCTCGGCCTTCGTTGAATCAATGTGGCCGAGGCCGGGTACAGGCTGTACACGAGAGAATCTGGAATATTCTTCGAAGATGGGAACGAATGTCTTGATAAAGTCAAGGCTCTTCTGGTTCTGCAGCAAATTAGGACGGCGAGTTTCCCTTTACACCCAGCCGACTGACCTTGACTGATGAAATGGGTAGATCCTCCTCCCACTCAATAAACTCGGGATCTACAGAGTCGAATTGACGACGTTTTTCGGGATGGTTCAACACCTCGTGAGCCTTTGAAATACACTTGAAGAAGGCATCATCGTTCGTGTTGGTGGCAGAAAACTGCAGGGGGTTCGTAGGCGGTGCCGCCGAACTGACTTTCTTGTCAGGATGGTGCCTAAGAACCTTTCTACGATCTAATCGGATATTTTGAGTATCATGAAAACACGACGTTAGATGGAGGGTACACACGGGCAAACTTGATCTGCTCCGGAGTGGCTCTCCATCGGAGATGTGAAAGACCAAGCACGGCATAGTAATCGTGTTTCTAGAAGGGGGCGATTAGATCTCAAGTACCTCCAAGGAATACTAAGCAGGATCACCTTCCATTCCTTGGGGTCAAGACTCAGGACGTCATTCGTCTCTGGCTCATCGCCAACGCCGAGATCATCTTCACCATTCGCGCCATCAGCCTCCTTCGCTAATTTCTTTTGCAATTCCTCTTCAAGGTGTTTATCTAGTGCGCCAAAATCGTGTGCATGTTTCAGAGAGAGTTTGAGATGGTTGAGGTACGCAGGTCCAACAGGCAGAAGGGTTCTGTGTCCAGCCGGATGAGGCGCTAGATGCGATTTAACCTGATGTAGGATATGAGTTTTGGGGATACTTACGGGAGAGATGAGATCCCGATGGTGTAGGAGGGACGTATGTTTTGTCGAGACGAGGGGCGACGACGTTGAGTGTCTGTACAGAGGCCATGCTGATGATGTTCACTGCCACTTTTTTTGATCTCATGTCACACTCGTCACATCACTAACATTTAATCTAACTCGGATTCAGTTCAATAATTCACCCCAAAATAGCTCTTCGCATCGACGAGCTCAATACTCAATACTCTCTCAAGTTGTCAACTCAACAATAAACTATGATCTAACGTTGCCATGCCCTAACCATAACTATGTGGTACTCGGGGTGTATCAATGTAGTCTTCCTGGGTGGCTGGCTGGCTAGTCCATGGTCTCATACAATATCGAACACGACTTCAAAATCCCACTGGGTTCGTCATGTCGGTCGCTCTCAAAACCAATGGATATTGTCTAATTGGCACCCACCCTCACCTACGCATTCTCCTCTGCATGCCCTCCGGCCACTCATACTCGTCGAAATACCCCTGTTATCCATCCGTGCGCCCTTCTGTGACACTTTCACCATCTTCCAAACTCTCTGGAAAAACAGCAGAATATGTCTCTCCCCCCTACCCCGCTTGCTGTTGATCTAGGAATGGGGCGCGCGGTAACAACCGGAACTACCCAGATGTCCCAGGCAAAGTCCCGGCCGTGCTCTATCGACAGCTTCTTTCCCGTCAACTCGCCAATCCAGTCTTCTTTCGTCACTCACACTCCCGTTGGAAGTATCACCCAAGCACCCGACACTCCTGAACTTATCCAATCACCAGAACTCCCACCCACTGAAGAGGGGTCTTCTCAGGAATACTCTTCTGACTCCTTCGACATCTCCGTCAGCCACACGTTGGAGGGGCCAGTTGGTAATGTTGGCATCACCCAAGATAAAGGCTTCGACGCAATCCTTTCTGCATTTCTGGAGGAAGATAATTTAGATGTTGGAGAGTACGATATAGGCGACAGAAACGAAGGAAGTCATAAGCAGGATGAACTCATGTATGTGATTAGGGTAAAAATCGGAGAGGAAATATCGCCTTCCTTAGGACTCCTCGACCAGATGTACGAGTTTCTCGGACGTGGTGAGCTGGGTCCTTTACATGTCGGGCACATCGGCTCACACAAACAACGGCAGAGCAGAGCCCCCCGCTTAAGGTAGAAGACGACAAGCCTGTGGACGGTGTTTTCAGCTGCCAAACCTCAGAATATCAATACCCTCCCATCCATCCTCTCTTCGAACCTTTTTATGACGAGCCCATCATAAGTAAGTCCCTTGGCCCCTCACTCGATCACCAGCACTCAAGCTGGCATATCGCCAGTTATCGAGAGTCCAAGCACCCAAACCATTCCTGCATCGCCTCCCCCAACAACCTGCGATTTTAAATACCTCTCCCCAGTTCCTTTTGCATACTCCGTGGACGACTTAGATACGTGGGACGAAACTACACCCCCGACTTCTGTCAGCCAATCATTCATCTCTACCTGTGCATCAGTAGACATC